GATAGATGCTTGTCTGTCAGCACAGAGGTCTTGAGTTTGAATTCACACTGAGTCCTCCCCAAGTGGGTTCCGGAGTCCCATTGTGGGTAAAACAAGAAAAGACCCACTGCCTTCCCAACAAGCATGTTGTAAAAGTCGACTAATTGAGGGATTCCTCCAAAGTCAGTGTGCATCTGCCTGAGAGGGGAGGAACCAGCAGTCTGCATACACATAAGCAAGATCTGTAAAATGGATGCACATGCAAAACTCAGGTCCTTGAACAAAGCAAAAGTCCAGGAACGGACGAACAACTAGGTATTTCCGCCAGGGTTTACAACCAGTGAATGCAAACAGCAAACAAGAACACATTGAGTCCGGTTTTTGTGGAGAGGGGGGGGGGGGAATTACTGACCTTGGCTCCCAGGATAATCAAAAATGTATACCAGGCAATGACTTGGGCAGCCAGAGTAAGTTGATCATATCACGCACTGAGTGCTAGAAAATCTATACAAATTTAAGTCTAGCACCATTTGCCTGATACGCCACTGGAATAAAGAGTGTCCTTTACTATTTAATTTACTTGTAACAAATAATGCACCATCATCATCATTATGTTTCCACTTCTGCCGTTTAGCATTGTGGGAAGATACTGTCTGTGATCCATTGCTTGATGGGTAGCAATGGCTATTGTCACTCTGTATTGATGTAGAAGCTCTTTAATATTATTAATCCATGTTCTCCTAGGTCGGCCTCTTACTTTCACTTTAGATCCTTTTATGTGTAAGGCCTTCACTGGTAGTTGTTCTAGCTGCATTCCTACTAAATGATCCAAACATTTGATCTTCTATTTCCCACAAAATTTGATGCCTTATAATACACATAATGCATTATCTGATCTTGCGAAAGTTGATGTAATGGACAGAAGCATCATGAATGCTTCTCCAGATGATCAAGATTAACAATAATTGAGAAGAAAAAGGTTCAGAAGTGAGCAAATTGTAAATGATAAATTTTAAAACATACCTTCTTGTTCAGCAGACAGTGGAAGACAAAAATGAACAGCCCTTGTAAACTGTTCAAGGTGGAAAAGACATAAGCTATAGGCAGGCTATCATCATTGATGAGAAAATAACCTAGTACCCAGGTCAAACCAAGGAGGACTTCAATGGCCAGTGCACCTTGTATCCAAGCTCTGCAAAACAACAACACAAAAGTATATCAATTCATAATTTAAAATTTAAAAAAAAATATTAAAAAATATGTTGATTCATAATAAAATAAGAAGCTTGAAAATGGAACATGTTGTAACCGCTGGGAAGATTTCTGGAAAAAGAGCTAGAAATAGAGGATGACAATGTGAAACGATGCTTGACAATCTATTGTAATGGCATGGCATGGTGTCAGCACCTGAAATGATACATGCTGTAAGAGACCTCAGGTTTTGGACAGGAATAATTACCCATCAGTCAGCAATGCATTTAGTTAGTTAGTTAGTCTTTCCTCTTCAAATTAGGAGAGCTCATAGGGCAGAGGTCAAAGCTCTCCATTTCTGATGGTTCTTTGCCACCTGTTCTAGGTCTTGGATGTTCATTAGGCCCATGGTTGAGCCTTCCCTCATTCTATGCAGGATCTCTCTTAGTCTTCCCCATTTTCTGTTCCTTTCTAGTGTCCATTTGAGGGCTTGATGGAAGAGTCTGATTTGATCTATTCTGAGTGTACGGTGGATGTAGTTCCAGCTGTGCTTTCTTATAAAATTGGATACTTTATCTTGCTTGTCTCTTGTCTTATTAGCAGATATTTCATAATCTATCAAGAAACTTAGGATATACTGATGGTTACCCTATACATACTTTACATTTGTTACCTTCACTTGTTCAAAAATGTTTTGCCTAACTTAATTTCATATTTAAAGTTTTCTTATTGATAGTCTTTGTTTTGACTCCTTTACATAAACAAGTATCACTTATATCTATCCTCACCTCCAGCCCTAAGGAAGCTACTGTGGTGTAGCAGCTAGACGCTCGCCTGCGGATAGGACGCCGTACATTTTTCAAAAATGTCCTTGTCTCACAGGTTGTCCCAGCCTTGAGAGGGTACCAGGTATTGTCCTGGGTAGTAAAGGCGGTCATGGTGATGTTGACCACATCACCCACCAAGTCCTGATTGGTCTAGTACCCAACGCTGGTTTTCTTTACTTCCCAGGACTTTACCTGGTCCCCATTTGAGGCTGGGTTAACCTTGGAGCTTAGGTAATTTTTGTTGTTGTAAGACTGTGAGACACTGGTGAGTTTCAAGCCCAGCAGTTCTCAACCTGTGGGTCATGACCCCTTTGGAGGTCATCAAATGACCCTTTCACAGGGGTCGCCTAAGACCAATGAAAGACACATATTCACTGACGCTATAAAGTAGCAATGAAAATAATTGTATGGTTGGAGGTCGTCACAACATGAGGACTGTATTTAAGGGGCATGGCATTAGGAAGGTTGAGAACTGTTGATCTAGCCTCTACACCATGGCAGCTCCCAAACTTCTAAATAATCAGCTTTTATGACATGCTTGTTAGAAGTCAGTGGGTATATTCTTCCCTCCTCCCCCCCCCCCCCCCCCCCCCCCCCCCACTGGGGGCCTAGGAACCCACACAAGAAGAGACCAGCTCAACTGCAGTTACGATTATTTTCAACAATGATACAAGTGTGGTAAATACCTGATTCCACTTCCAGTTGCTTTCTCCTTAGAACTGAACACATAATCTGAGTGTCTGCAGACTGTACTCATGGCATACGTCAGAAAGAAGGCGTTGACCTTGACCGAGAATAAACAGATAGGCTTTATAAATGTGGAAAAACAACAATAGTAGATAACATAAATGCAAGCTTAAGTAATGTTGAAATATTTTGCCTGTACATCAAATGCCATGGGAGAATCTTAAAAAGATGAAAAAAACTATTCATAAATAGGAAAGTGTTTCTTTTTTCTTCTCTCCCATTCACATGCTAAATGCACTGGTGTAGAGTTCTGGGTGTTTATCCATTTCTGGACTTAAGTCTTTTTCCAGAACTTGAGTTTTACATGCTCATCTGTGTTAAGGTGTACTCATATGCAGACTGCTGGTTCCTTGCCTACCAGGCAATTGCATTCACTTGCTCCCAAACGGGTACTGATATCTAGCTTGTTATATGGATCAATTCACCACCAAATGCTGCAGAAACAGCCAGTCTGTCTGCCTGTTTCTTTCCCAAAACATCTGTATGACTTGGAGAAAATATTCAACTGGCAATCTTGAATAAAAGGTTTACCATGAGCTGCTAGAAGATATATGATCAATTATGAGATGAGAAGATCTTAAAAATTGGTCTTGACTATCTCCCACTGGACCAACAGAACCGTTTTGTTTGCTGGAGTGAATCAATCCTTGCCATGAGAAACTCATATGTGCCAGATGTATTGTGCTGGATAATGTGTTATTGTTAAGATGTTGCCCAATAGGATAACCCAAGCATCAAATTCCTGCAGAAGTCAGACGTGTCGGCTACAAGGCACAAATATCATAGCCATATTGTAACAAAAGCTGACTAAGTGAAGCAAGACAATAAGCTAGTTTATCAGTGCCTGAATAAATACATGTGTGTGTGTTTGCATGTTTATGTTTATAGAAAGTTTGTTCATTCATTGGATTAATGTTATGGCCAGAATGTTAATTTTATCTATAGATACATTTTGAATGTACACACTTAAATGGTGAAGAAATAAATTAAATGCAGAGACAATGAATCATAGATTGTTCAGGATTGCTGGCAAGGAAAAAAAATGCCATTCTTTGCTTACCAAAAGGATCATTGCAACAGGACCAGCAAATGCCCAAATAAAGTATCTGTCCGTGGTCAACCAACAACTGAAAAGAAAATTCTGATATTATGTTTAAGGTTTGAGGTTCATGATTTAACCAACGGAACAACATCATGGCACAAAAGTAGTAAATCATAAATGCTTTGTTCCACTTCTAACTCAAGTCTGAGTCTGAAGAATCTCAGCGCAGTGCACAAACTGGCGAGGATCCTGAAATACTTTGGGTAGATTTTTAACTCTAAATTTTGGAGGCCTGCTAGGCTACTCTTTTTGATTTCCAACCACTAACGGATTTTTTACGTGCACAACAATACACACGGGTGTCGGACCTTACTACCCAGAGACCAGAGGAAATTAACAGAAATCAATGAGAAAAAATCCCAGCCTTCACTGGGGCCTTAACCCGGGATCTCCAGCAATCAAGGTAGACACCATGCCTCGAGACCAAGCAGCCCTCAACAATATTAGGGCTATGGTGAATATTGTTTCATTTGTCTTATGCTGCAAATTTAATTAAACACAGGCCTTTAATAAACTTACACCCAGCTGTGTGTATTGCTCATAACTAGGAAAAAACAAAATCAAAAGTGATTTATACCAACTTTACAAAAATTCACCAAAAGTTACTGGTTATTTAAGAAGAGGAAGGGAAATGTTCTGAAACAAATAATGTCAATTCCTAATTAATTTATTAATTTACTGTCAAAGAAATAGATTTCAGTAACAGTTTTATTAAACAAAAAGTTCCCAAGAAATAACCTGGAAAGTAAAAACAGCGGCCATAATGTTAACTACAAAACCCATCTAGTGCCAGTAGGCTTATAAAAGTTTGAGTTTAGCACCATATGCATAAAACATCTATGGCATGAAAAGGGTCCTTTACTATTTTTTTTCAACTTATTCCCTACCAAACAACTCATGATGCGTTTTTTTTTAGTTTCCCTTTAGATGATATAATTTTGTGAACAAATGGCAGCCATTAGGTTGTTAGACTAACCTAACCTTTTCCAGCTGTTAATTGAACTCCTTTCATCTCATAGTGTCATGACTTTGAACCCACCAGACCCATCTCTTTACTAGTTATAGTGACAACTTCTTAGCATGTGATGCTTTTGAGTAACACCTCCCTGGGACTGAAAGAGTTAAACACTAACAAGTATGTGCTAGGTACTTACAACTTGTCTGTTCCATAGCCCTTGTAGTAGAACAAACAAGACGCACCAACCACTGCAAATGGCACACCTGGAACATGGCAAATTCAGTGGCTAATAACTGTTTTCTAAGCATTTAAAGTAGCTTTTAAAGGCTAGGAGGCCGAGGTTTAGGATCAAAATTGTCAAATATTTATGGTCGGTAATGTCTACAGAACTTTTTGTTTAATTTTGTATTCATATCTTGTTGTACTATTATATGCCATATCGGGCTCATGGCTGATTCCTACATTTCAAGGTATCGGGTGAAGTTTATTGGATACTACATACAGGATTTAGTCCTGCACCATTGACATCTCTTCAGTGTTGCTAAAGGGTTTCTCTTGGATGCTCACAATGATTATTTTTTTTTAGCCTTCTGTGTGATTCATTATTTTCTTCATCTCATTATGTGCCCTTCCTGTTTTGGTTCCAGTAAAAAGTTGTGGGGAAAACAAGAACAGACCCACTTCCCCCCAACAAGCATGTTGTAAGAGATGGCTAACTAGGAGGCTTCCTTTGATGGCCGAGTATATCTGCCCGAAAGGCACGGAACAACCAAATGCACACAGATAAGCCAGTGAAACGATTGTACACACAAAACTCAGGCTATGGCACCAAACTAAATGGACGAACAACCAGGACTTTCCACCAGAGCTTACAGGCGGTGAACAAAGAAGAAGAAGCAGAAGAAGAAAAAGAAGAAAAAGAAGAAGATAATGTGCCCAACAGATCACCGTCTTCCTTCTCTAATAATTCTGTTAATACATGTTTAATGTCCTCTCTCAGGGTCTCTGTAGTAAAAATGTCTACTTGAGCCCTTGGGGTTCTGTCTGGGATTCTGTCATATGGATCACTAGTGCAGTTATTTTACATATCCCTAAGGATTGTACCAGAGCTTTACATTTTGTGTTTCGTATAATTATTAAAAGTAAGACGAATATACAGCAATTTTCAAATTTAAACTACCAAATGTGCACATAGTTTTCCAATTTCAATTTGATTTTTTTTTAAATGCCGAACTTGATCCATTTTCAGCTGCTTGAAGGCCTGCTGTAGGAAGGAACGTTCCTTGGCTGTTTTATTTGATGTCCTATTATTTGTGGTGTGTAGTCACACCTGAGTCAGCTCTGTGGCCAAGTTGATGCGAACGCTTCATAATGCCAGGATGCCGGGTTCGATCCCAGCTGTGGGCCATGCGCCTTGCGTTGGTTTCGACAGTGGTATCAAGAAAGCTGATCGTCCAGAAAGCAATGGCAAACTACTGGATGTAAATTTGCCTAGAAAAACCACACAACAGCCAGGGGCTGTTGGGGTTGATTCTGCAACGTCCTGTAAAGGATACGCAACTAACCTGAGTCACACCTGATATTCCTGTGTTTTTTTTTATGTGTCTTCCTAAGTCCTAAGTCCTGTGTGGAGCTTGGGGTTCCAGGTCCTGGTCTGGTCTGGCTCTCTTCAATTCCTATCTCTGTGGGTTTTTGCTGACTGTTGCTAGTACTTGGTTATAACCCATGATGGTCGCTGCTCTGGTGCCCTATTGCCAGTTGGATTACTGCTCTGTGAGGCCACGGGAAAAGCACATAGTTATATACTTTCTTCACTCTATAAACATATTTTTTTGGCCACCTGTGATCTCTTTATATGCTGCTCCTCTTTAGTACATGTCAAAACTGGTGTAGCCATATTTAAACTGTCATTATGATGTCTCCATGTTCATCTACACTGTAATGTCACCTGCAGCCCGTCTCTCTAGCGTAGTTGGCTAAACCGTATTGTGCGGTGACCGGGTGACGAAATCCTTGTGGTCCGGGTTCACTCCCAGGGGTAGGCAGAAAAGCCACATTTTCTCCCGGATTTATGGTATTTACAATGGAATCAAGGCCCAAAGGTTGCGATATCCATAATACCGAGCCTAAGGGTTAACAACTCATGGCTTCTGGATACTAAAACAAACAAACAACTATCCTTCGCTATCACATGCAGCTCACCACACATCCTCCCCAACTTTTTTCTTTACTCTCTACCTCCCTTCTCCATGTTTTTTTTTGGTGTGCTTCCTTTATATCTATGCTTCTGTGAGTTCCAGTGCAAAGACATTCTAGTTATATTGTTCTTAGGTTTTCTCTACATGTGTCCTATCCAATGCCAGCATCTTTTCTTCACCTCTTGGTCCACTGGAGCTTGTTTTTTTCTCCCAAAGCTCTACATTAATGATTTTAACATACCATTTAATTCTATCTATTCTGCGCAGGCACCAGTTAATGGATTGTAGGTTAGTTGTAATTGCCTTAGTTGTTCTCTATGTTTACGATCCATACAACAATACTGATTTGACATTAGAATGAAATTTTTTAATTTAATATTGGTTTAAATTTTTTTTTGGACCTCAACAAATTCCCTAGTGCTATGAAAGCTCCTCTTGCCCGTTGTATTCATATTTTAATATTTCTATCAGTTTCCTCATCTTTATCTACATTATTGCCTAAACTGATGTTATGACTACACGTTTTGTAGTGGGATTCCATTAGGAGAAACTGTTTGCCTGATTTATTCTCATTATCTTTGTCTTGTAATTTCTATCACACTTTATAATGTTTCATTTGAAGCCCCCTGATACTTTTGTAATAAAATTTTTATGTGTGGGAAATTAACCTTTCTATCTTCTGGCAGTACTAAAATTATATCATTAATTATTTTAAAAACATTTTTTTTTAAAATAAATAGACATAAAACAAGATAACTGCCTGGATTGAACTAATATGCTAATGATGAACCTACCATAGCCGGTCAAATAATAATAGGGTAGTCTGGATCTAGAAGCATCAAACACTTGAACCAGCATAAAGATGATGTGAAGCCCTTCAATAAACATCCACATAAAAGCAGCCACAAAGAAAAAATGGAGAAAGCCAGCAATGACAGAGCACAATATCTGAAATTATAAAAACACATTATTAACAATAATTTGAAAACAATCATTCACAACGTGGGCATGTTATGTGATTTTAGCACTCTAAAATATGATTTACTGGTTCATATAGTGACAACTTGCTATGCTATAACAAAAAAAGGTATCAGAAATGTTCTCTCACTGTCTTCCTTTATCTCTTTTTCCATACATCTTTCTAGTTGTCACAGTCCCAGTTTGTCTTTTCATATAATGTGGCCAAAAAGGATGACTTCCCTTTTCAAATGGGTGTGATTAATATTTTTTCTAGGTCTCAACCTCTGTCGAATCATCTTAATTACATTTTTTGTTTTGACAGTCCAAAATGCCTCTTAAGTGCACACATGAAATTAGGAAACAGCAATTTTTTACTAGAAATCTTCTTCAGTGTTCTCTTTTAAAATGGCAGCTGGCAAAATCTGTTGTGGTTTACAGCTAGGCTGTGATATATGTAACTTTAGGCTCAACACATGTGATTTTAGCAAACATCTAATTTGTCTCTTAAGACATGCTCATTGGGTGGAGGTGAGGTCTGGGTCCATATCTCCCCTCCCCCCCCCCCCCCCTTCCCTACTGGGGTTCTGAGAGCTCACATAAAAAACAAGCAGTCATTTCGTCTGCGATAACCCAATTCAAATCCCAAGCGTATTGATCTATTTCAAAAAAAAAGTAATATATAGGGTCCATTTATTTGTTTTGCTGAATATTTTGTATATTATGCTAGCCTCATATTTTAAGAAACCACTGGCACTCAGTGGGTGATGTAGTAGTGGCAGTTTTCACAAGCACATCCCGTTCAGCCCTAAGTGTTATAATTTGAATAGTAAGTGAGCTTTTCCTCGTTGTTCCAGATCAGTTCATTGGTACTGTTCCATCTTTTCAGATCATTTCATTGGCACTGTTCCGTCTTTCCAGATAATTTCGATGGCACCATCTCATCTCTCCTGATCATTTCCCTGGCACCGTTTCATCTTTCCAAATCATTCAACTCGCACCGTTCTGTCTTTCCAGATCATTTCATTGGCACCATTCCATCTTTCCAGATTATTTAATTCTCACTGTTCCATCTTTCCAGATTATTTCATTCGCACTGCTTCGTCTTTCCATGCAATAGTGTTTTTATGGGCTACAGGGACACATATGAATCGCACAGCCCATGTCGATCACGAATGTGACTATCACAACCTGTCCAGGTTAAGAAAAATCATTCACAATCAGAGCATGGGCTGCAGTAGGTGCAGCAGTAGCAGCAGTAGTAGTAGCAGTAGTAGCAGAAGCAGTAGTGGCAGCAGTAGTACTAGTAGTAGCAGTAGTACTAGTAGTAGCAGTAGTAGTAGCAGCAGCAGTAGTAGCAGTAGCAGCAGCCATAGTAGTAGTAGCAGCAGTAGTAGCAGTAGCGGTAGTAGTAGTAGTAGTAGTAGTAGCAGCAGCAGCAGCAACAGCAGAAGTAGTATTCGATATAGTTACCGGTTGCTGGACTTGATGAATTCCAAATACAAACAATAACTCTGCCACGAATAATGTGAAGGCCAGGTTTTTGTGTATAGAATTCCTCTCTCCTTGCAAAGAGCTGAAAAGAAGGAAGGCATACATTACACTAAAAACATGAAATTGTTCAAACAACCGAGTAGCTTGAAAGAAAGCAGTTTATACTAAAGAGGAATTGTGGTAGCTGAGAATATCAGCAGAGGTAATAGTAGCGGGAGCATTGGTAAATGGGCTAGTCATACTAGTAGTTATCATATTAGTAGTGGTAGTCGCAGCAGCAACAACAGCCCTAGCAGTGCCAGCAGCGGTGGAGAAGTAGTGATAGTAGGGGTATTAAAGTAGTAGTTGTATCGGTGTTGTCGTCGTAATAGTAGTATAAGCATTAGTATATGACTTAGTCAAAGTGGTTGTTGTTTTTATAGTAGTAGTAGCAGCAACAGCATCAGTAGCCGCAACAAAGTAGTTGTAATAGGGTAGTAGTAGTAGTAGTAGTAGTAGTAGTAGTAGTAGTAGTAGTAGTAGTAGTAGTAGTAGTAGTAGTAACTGTTGTTGATGTAACAGTAGTAAGGAAGCTTTTTCCTAGTAGTGTTAGAGGTGGCGGCATTAGTAAATGTAGTTGCAGTGTTGATGATGACAAAAGAAAGTAGTGATGATGCCGGTACTAGTACAACAGTCAGCATTAATTTTTTACTCCACCCCCCCTTATCCCCCTCCCCCCCCCCCCCCCCCCCCCCCCGACACTTCACTGAGGTACAAGTAGAAGAGAAGAAGACATAGTCAGCATTAATTTGTTTGTTTTCAAAAAGATGTACGTTCTGGTAAAATAATAAAATAAGCATATACAAATATAACATCTAATCTCAAGAGAGATACTGGAAGCAAGAAACTGTCGTCTTTACTTATTCCTTGACACAACGCAGGGGGTTTCCTAGGTTTTTTTTTTTTCCCTCGTCTCCTTGCCTTTATAAAACTGTTACCAGAATGTTAGGTTATATTAGGGCTCCCGGCAACAGTCAGGGTGCGGCTTCAAAATAACGAAAAATTGCATCAAACAAGGGGATGACGTTAATAATATGGTTTTGTGTTAGTATTAGTAAATTTTACCCCACCAGTACATCACACAGAGCGATAAACACCAGATGACACAAAGTGCCATCATGTGAATGAGGATAACCCGTGGAGATGTCCCAGAAACCACGTTCAGCCATTAGACCATACTTATGGCAGGTCTATATTGCGGACCCTGGCAGGAGCCAGCGTGGAGCTTCAAAATAACGAAAAATTGCATCCCACAAGGGGATGACTAGTATAGGAAGGGTTTGTGTTGACAGGCAGACGATGTTCACGGGGGTTCTTAGCAAAAGCTTATAGGCGTAAAGGCCTGGCATATGACACCACAACATCTATTTTAAGCATGGAAGTCGAGTCAGTCACTGCAATCTTCTGTTGGCGTGAGAATCAGATGTACGCACATGTCGTAACTGTAACCAACTCACAGAGAATGTGTAGAAGTGTGGAGACAGGTATGCTCCCTAAAGATAGGCAAGAAACGCTTTAGAGGTCCCTGGTAGTTACCGTCCTTTAGATAGTTTCCTAGGAAATGCCAGTGTATTCGGAAATGAACAAGCAGATAGATTGGCGTCCTCTTTACAACTTGGTGGTGAACTAATGCATGACAAGCTAGATGTTGTAGTGGCCCTTTAGGATCGAGTAAACAGTGCGGAAGCATGGATGGATATTCACAGTCTAAAGAGAATGGGGCTACGAGGTGTAACCAAGAGACCTAGCCGACGATTAGCATTCAAGGGAAAGGTGATACGGATATACAATCAGACTGTACTGGTAAAATCGGAATTGGAACTCTACGCATTCTGCTAAAGATGGGGGTAGAGCGCTTATGGGAATGTCTCGAATGCCCTCATGTCGATTCTAATTTAAACATTAAACTTACCTGGCAACGTTCGAGAGGTTTGTTGTTGACTCTTTAAGTAGTATGCTTATTTATTTGTGTCTTTCCGTGTGGGTTCCCCTTTGTGGGGGAAAACAAGAATAGACCCACTGCTATCCCAACAAGCATGTCGCAGGTGTTGTTTAAATGGGGGCTTCCTATATAGTCAGATTTTTGTGATTTTTTTGTTTACAATATTCAGGGCGCAGATAAACAAAAAGACATGATTCTGTCGCTGCGGCTGCCCTGGTAAAACGGTCAGTTGTGTTCGATTGTTGTTCAATTTGTATTTCAGTTATAAAGTATTTGCTTCATTTATGTGATTGTTACTGTAGTATTTACCTGACGAGATACAGCGATATATGCCAGGCAATAAATTGTGCAGTCTATTGTTTGTGTCTTTATTGTTCACATTTACAACAGGGAAACGTTGCTTTTAAATTTACACTAATACACCATGATTTGTTTTCAATATACAGTGAATATATTATGAGATCTTTAATTGATATGCCCGGAATTGTGGTTGGTGGGCACAATATAAACAATTTACGTTATGCTGATGACACAGTCTTGATAGCAACAAGTCAGAAAGAATTACAGGAAATGATAGACATTGTGGTGTTAGAAAGTGGAAGAATGGGCCTCAGTTTGAATAATGGGAAGACAGAAGTAATGGTGGTATCAAAGAAACAAATTATTCCTAAATGTGTAATAAAAGTCAATGGTGTTATTTTAAGACAAGTACAGAAATTTAAGTATCTGGGCACATGGATAACATCAGATGGAAGATGCATAACTGAAATAAGAAACAGAATTGGACAGGCAAAAACTGCATTTTATAAAATGAAAAACATCTTGTGCAATATATCCTTGTCATTGAGAGTTAGAAAAAGAATTCTTGCTTGCTACATACATCCAGTTTTAACATATGGATGTGAATCCTGGACAATCGGTAGGCAGGCCAAACAATTTTTAGAGGCCTCAGAGATGTGGTTTTACAGAAGAATGCTTAGAATACGTTGGACAGCCAAAAAGAGCAACCAATAGGTTTTAAAAGATGCGGGAGACCGAAGACAACTTATCACTGACATCAGAAGGAGACAGTCATAATTTTTCGGCCATGTTATGAGAAGAGGGAAAAAAGAACATGTTGTGACCACTGGAAAGATCTGTGGAAGGAGGGATAGAGGAAGACAACGAGAGAAGATGCTTGACAGTCTTGTTGCATGGCATGGAGGTGTGTCGGCACACGAACTGATACATGCTGCAGGAGATCGCGGATTATGGAGAGGCATGATCGCCCACGCCAGTCGGCAAGGCACCTGATGATGATGATGAATACACCATGGGTCTAAAACAGTGTTCCTCAACATTGTTACACCTGCGGCCCCACCAAAAGCATGGGGAAATGATTTCCCTGCCTAGCTGATAGCTAACCAAACACATAAACAAACAAAAATGTATATAGTAGTTTATAGGTTGAATACAATCACAGTTTTAGGCTATGCGATATCTGCTGCTTAAAGGTGAAACAGCTGGATATATGTACCTGGAAAGTTGTTTTCGATAGATTCGAAGCGCTAAAATAACATTCATTCGATTTTTCTGTGTGGTTTTTAAAATTTACATGCTAGAGAAAGACTTTTCACACAAATAGGAGATCCTTAAGATGTTAATTATACCTATCTGCACAGTTTCTCATATTTGCACACAGTTCCTCATATCTGCACACAGTTCCTCATATCTGCACACAGTTCCTCATATCTGCACACAGTTCCTCATATCTGCACACAGTTTCTCATATCTGCACACAGTTCTTCATATCTGCACACAGTTCCTCATATCTGCACACAGTTCCTCATATCTGCACACAGTTCCTCATATCTGCACACAGGTCCTCATATCTGCACACAGTTCCTCATATCTGCACACAGTTCCTCATATCTGCACACAGTTCCTCATATCTGCACACAGTTCCTCATATCTGCACACAGTTCCTCATATCTGCACACAGTTCCTCATATCTGCACACAGTTCCTCATATCGGCACACAGTTCCTCATATCTGCACACAGTTCCTCATATCTGCACACAGTTCCTCTTATCTGCACACAGTTCCTCATATCTGCATACAGTTCTTCATATCTGCACACAGTTCCTCATATCTGCCCACAGTTCCTCATATCTGCACACATTTCCTCATATCTGCACACAGTTCTTCATATCTGCACACAGTTCCTCATATCTGCCCACAGTTCCTCATATCTGCACACAGTTCCTCATATCTGCACACAGTTCCTCATATCTGCACACAGTTCCTCATATCTGCACACAGTTCCTCATATCTGCACACAGTTCTTCATATCTGCACACAGTTCCTCATATCTGCACACAGTTCTTCATATCTGCACACAGTTCTTCATATTTGCACACAGTTTCTCATATCTGCACACAGTTCCTCATATCTGCACACAGTTCCTCATATCTGCACACAGTTCCTCATATCTGCACACAGTTCTTCATATCTGCATACAGTTCTTCATATCTGCACACAGTTCCTCATATCTGCCCACAGTTCCTCATATCTGCACACAGTTCCTCATATCTGCACACAGTTCTTCATATCTGCACACAGTTCCTCATATCTGCCCACAGTTCCTCATATCTGCACACAGTTCCTCATATCTGCACACAGTTCCTCATATCTGCACACAGTTCTTCATATCTGCACACAGTTCCTCATATCTGCACACAGTTCTTCATATCTGCACACAGTTCTTCATATTTGCACACAGTTTCTCATATCTGCACACAGTTCCTCATATCTGCACACAGTTCCTCATATCTGCACACAGTTCCTCATATCTGCACACAGTTCTTCATATCTGCATACAGTTCTTCATATCTGCACACAGTTCCTCATATCTGCCCACAGTTCCTCATATCTGCACACAGTTCTTCATATCTGCACACAGTTCTTCATATCTGCACACAGTTCTTCATATCTGTACACAGTTCCTCATATCTGTACACTGTTTCTCATATCTGCACACAGTTCCTCTTATCTGTACACAGTTTCTCATATCTGCACACAGTTCCTCATATCTGCACACAGTTCCTCATATCTGCACACAG